GCCGACCGTCCAGAAGCAATGGCAAACAAATGGACGTAAATTTGCCTAGAGAAACCACACAACAGCCAGGGGCTGTTAGGGTTGGTTCTGCAACGTCCTCTAGAGGATACGCAACAACCTTAATACCACTCTATCCCACAGTTGTAAGTCTGTAGCCGTTCCATTAGGTCACTACATCATTGTCGTCGGAACATAAGATCCCAGGCACCTCAACCCACCCCCACTGGCGTAGCAAGGTCAGGTGGTACCTGGTGAAAAAAAAACTCAGCACACACATATAATATAGCTCTATTTCAAAAACACATATTTTTTCCTTTTTGTTCTCTACCCCCCCCCCTCCCATTTTCAGCCCTCCTCGCCCGTTAAACCACACGAGGCCGCCGGACCCCTTTTTCCTACGCCAGTGTGCCATACCAGTGTTTCCCAAACTGTTTTCAAATAACCTTTTTCTACGGTGCACTAACCGGCGTCCGTGGCTAAGGCGTTGCGAGTCCGACTCGTAAGCCAGTATACCGCGATCGAAACCCACTGCAGGCTGCGTGGATTTTTGTCGTGGTATGGGACGTCGCAGGTCGACCCAGCCTAAAATGGGTACCAGGATGGGCTGGTCCTGGGAAAGTAAAGACAGCCGGCGTAATGCTGGCCACATTACCACAGAGTGCTGATGGTCTGTAAAAAAATGGGACGCTCTGCCCAATATGCCCGATGCGCCGAAAGGCGTGAAAAGGGATCTTTACTTTTTTTTTACTTACTTACGGTGCCCTAACCTTACTAAACGTATGACTGACTATTCGTGTCTTAGTTAAATTAATTATAAAGCTTTTACAACATTTCGCGGCGCGTCTGTGAAGAGGTAGAGGCTACCTGGGGCGCCGCTGCGCACAGTTTGGGAATCACTGTCTCACACCATGTATTGACGTTTTTTTTTTTGGGTAAGCATTTATTTGTACATTTCCTACTATGCAAATTACATTTTAATTTTATTTGCCTTTCAGAAAATAAGAGTATTTTTTACATTATTTGTATTATTGGCCACTTCAACAAGGTTCAAGCATTTTAAGCACTCTAGACAATTATAACAAATAACAACGAGTATAGAGCGTGGGGAAGACCTCGTAAAATATGGAATGATGGCATAAAGAACAGCCTTACAGAAACGAACATCAATCCTAATAGTGCTCTTGACATAGTTCATTAACGAACATTACATCTACCCCCTTCCCCTTTTTTTTAACCCTTCAACCAACACCCCCCCCCCCCCGACTTCGCTTAGGTACAAGCTAGGTGGAAGAAAAGAAGACAATTATAAGCGCCCCCCCCCCCCCAATCCCACCCAAGCCTGGTCTGCATTAACAGCCTTGTGTCTTCTCCCTTTGTCGTCTTACTGATACCAGGTTATAGTGTAGCTTTGCTGTTTTCTCTATGTAGCTTGGGTGATGTTTGTTGTTTGTTTTGTTTTAGTATCCAGAAGAGTTGTTAACCCTTAGGCTTGATATTATGGATATCGCAACCTTTCGGCCTTGATTCCATTGTAAATACCGTAATTCTGGGAGAAAATATGGCTTTTCTGCCTGCCCCCGTGAGTGAACCCGGACCACAAGGAGTTCGTCACCCGGTCTCCGCGCAATCCGGTTTAGCCAACTACGCTAGAGAGCCGGGCTGGCTTAAGTGACAGATTTGTGTATATCCCATCTATTTTGATATTCTGTCCCCCGTCTCTGTCCTTCAGTAGTGTGGCCTTACTTACACCCGGTAAACCCCGCCTCCCAAAGCCAGCACTGTGACATCTAGTGCTACTATCTCTGATGTCAATATTGAGCAAACATAATTAACATATACATATTAACGAACGCTCTAAACTAGACAGTTGTATAATTAAAGTAGAACAAAATGGTAAACATGAAATACTGCAAGTACATACATTTGAAACATAATTTTTATACACAAAACAAAGTATTATAGAATTTTCTACAAAACGTTCAAGTATTCTTCGTTGCACACCTTTGTTCTCAATTTTAACGATGCTCCTGTGGATCGCCGCGGAGCTAGTGAGTACGTGCTTTGTGGAACACTCTCGGCAGGCGGATAACCGTTCTGCGGAGAAAGACTAAGCCCTGTCGTATAAAACCCAGTGCCAAGAAGTCAATTCTCTTCCCTTAAACTTTTTTTTTTCTTTAATGAAAACCTGAATAACGGGGCCACTGTGATGTAGCGGCTAGAGACTTGTCCGAGGATCGATGGCCGTAGTTTCAGGTCCCGACAAAGCCGATATTTTTACAAAATTTACCGTGGCCCCCGCGTCGACCAGCCCTTTTTTGGTTAACAGGTGAAGTCATGGGAAGTAAAGGCGACCGGCGTGTTGTTGACCACATCACCTACCGAGTGCCGATTGGTCTATAAAATATAGGTCTTGCCCTATATGCCCAATATGCCTGAAGGTGTGGAAAAGGGTCCTTTACATTTTTCCTACCTGAATAAAGACACACCCCCACTCCCTTTCCGGGGCAACAGCTTTGACGGGCTGACTAAACAAGGAGAGGGTAACCGACCTGGTTCTAAACCACTCGGTAATTGGGATATACCTACCCTGCGTGTCGGCTCTGTGGCTAAGTCGATGCGAACACTTCGCTTCGTAATGCCGGGATGCCGGGTTCGATCCCAGCTGCGGGCCATGCGCCTTGCATTGGTTTCGACAGTGGTATCAAGAAAGCCGACCGTCCAGAAGGCAATGGCAAACTACTGGACGTAAATTTGCCTAGAGAAACCACACAACAGCCAGGGGCTGTTAGGTTTGGTTCTGCAACGTCCTGTAAAGGATACGCAACAACCTTTAACCTACCTTGCGTGCAAAGACTGGACTCTGTGGATTGTGTGGATAACACCTCTTATTGGTTCAATGGACAAAAAGGCGATTACCAGCAGGCTCTGTGGGGAGCTTCGAACAAGGCAAGGCACTTAAGACGCATTGTTCATCCTCTGCACCTGTGTCTATTTCCAATCTTCTCGACATTGTCCTGCCATTGGATCAAGACGGACATAGGTGAGAGAGTGAGGTCGACGAACTGTGCAAATCTTCTCCACTTAAATCCAAGTCCTTGCGCAAGTCACTTTCATCCAGCTATCACTACTTTGGATGAAAGTGCTCTTCATCGCTCGTGATGGACGAACAACAAACAACTTGACTTAAGTTAAACAAAATTAAACCTGCTATGCAACAGAGGCTGCCTGCAGAACAAGTCTCCACCCACTTCCTTTAGGAAAATGACTTGAAGAGCTTCGTAAATCTTCTATACAGCAAACTCTTGCACTACTGCCCGAAACAAACAAGAATCAACTAACAGTCTAAGCTAGACCCATAAACCATACAGGTACGCAAAACGTAAGTTCTGGTACAAGACCAAAGTCCAGAAGTGGAAGAACAACTGGAACTTTCCACCAGAGTTCACAACTGGTGAACGCTAACAAGAAGAATCAGATAATTCAGTCCCATAGCAGATATAATCGTTGGGATGTCAAGTGTTAGGCCCTAACGCTTTCTAGGCCACGAAGTGTGAGGTACGCTGCTAGGTTCCATTTCTAGTCTCAATTCTTGTAAAGACAGAATACAAAGAAACTGGTTCCTATTTCCCAAGATCGACCCCAAAGTCGTACTGATCAGGAAAATCCTACTATATCTTTACATTGAACATGGACCTGTGTCTAGACGGGCAAACTACCTAGCCAGTATGACACTAATAACTATGACACTGACCACTACGACACTGACTGCTATAATAAAAACCTCTATAACATTAGCCACTATAACACTAACCACCATGACGCTAGCCACTATGACACTAGCCACTATGACACTAGCCACTATGACACTAGCCACTATGACACTAGCCACTATGACACTAGCCACTATGACACTGACACCACTATGACAATAACCACAATGACACTATTCACTATGACAATAACCACTATGACAATAACCACTATGACAATAACCACTATGACAATAACCACTATGACAATAATCAATATGACATCGACCACTACGACACTAACCAGTATGACATCAACCACTACTACACTAACCAGTATGACATCAATCACTACGACACTAACCAGTTTAATATTAACCACTACGACAATAACCACCGTTACACACCACTCGTTTACGTTTTATGCAATTTTGCTTGTGTCCAGAAAAACCTTCAGTCTGTGGGAAAATATGCGTGCGGAAGTGGAAAAGATGTGTTTTTATAGACGAAAGTAACGAAGATGTCTTGAAAGAAATTGACTCATACAGAAAACCGACTGCCCACATCAGAAAGAGACAATCTACCTTCCTCGGTCGTTTCATAAATTGAATGAAAATACACGAGGCGGAAAGTTGTGGATAGGCATTACACCGTTACACAGCATTGTCTATGAAATGAAGAAGAAGAAATTTGGCATCGAACGATATTTGAAAAAGAAAAAACAGTTGGCCAGAAAAAGTCAAAACCTACACGCCAATGCAAATCAAGGGTGTTGTATACACATCTATATATTAGTACACACATACCACACATACATGCAGCAAGATACAGAAAAAATGTCAGCACTCACACACACACACACACACACACACACACATATATATATATATATATATATATATATATATATATATATATAGATAGAGAGAGAGAGAGAGAGAGAGAGATAAAGAAGAAAAATGGAAAAGAGCAAGGAAGAAGAGGGGAAGCAGGAGGAGGGGAGGAAAAGAGAAGATAAAGAAGACGAAACATAGGAAAAACAACAACAGCATGAATAATAAAGAATGAGGGAAAAAAAACGAAGAGCAGCAAGAACAAGATCAAGAAAAAGAACATGAAGTAGAACAAAAGCACAAAGTACAAGAAGAAGGTAATAAATTATGAAATAATATTTACGTTTGTTTACTGTTTTGGGGACGTCCCATTTATAGCTTGCTATCGCTGGTTTCCAGCATATTCGCTGTTTTTACTTTACAATTTCACTATAAAGAGCCCAGAATCGTCTGTGAATCCCTCGTTATCATATTCTTGCTTCCAATCAGGCTGTATTTTGACTGACTCCTCTAGAGTCGCCTTCTCACCTTCTTCAAATGTTTGTGCTTCCACGTTAGAAGGAAGTCCATCGTATCGATTTTCTTTTGTATCGTTAATTTCGTCTTTTCCAGTCTGTTCAGTGGGAAAATCAGAACCCAGCCCTAATCTTTCTAGTTTAATACCATTTTTATCTGCCTTTCCAGCACCATTTCCTATGTGAGAAGACGTAGAAACGACAGAACCCTTGTGTTTTTCCTTAATAGAATGAACATCCGGTTCCAAATGAACATGCGCGCTCGGACCTATGAACGACAAAATAACAGGAACCAGAAACACGGCGTGAAGAACGCCAAAGCCGATTACCAGAAGCATGATCTTGAAGAACGACTGAAAAATGTAAGATTCTGTGAACAGAAGCATGATGACTCCAATGATTGAAGACACGCCTCCATTGAGGATAGGTCCAGAAGCGTGAATAATGGCGTCTTCTGCCCGGTCTTCTCTAGTCTGCTCCTCGGATACCATGTAGGCGGTACAGACATGCGCACTGTGAATAAAAGTACACTTCGTTTATGATTTACTTTGTTACTTGTCTTATTTATCAACAGACACCGTTATTAGGACATACATAAATATGAGCACTAAGAAACAGATGATAAACAGCATATTCATATTAACACTGTGCTACCAGTGCCAGATGTGGATATTATCAAAGACTAACCATTGCAGGGTAAGTCTCTTTAGACAAAGACATTTGGAGTCAAACCATATACAAACCGGCGGAAGTCAAGGGGAAACCACCGCTGTACTATCCCAAGAAAATCATGCCTCAAAATAATAGGAATTCAGATTCGAAGATTATGGAGAGGCATGATTGCCCACGCCAGTCGGCAAGGCACCTGATGATGATGAACCTACGTAAAATTAACACCTGAGAAAAGAGATGCCTGAGAAAAGCCGCCAACATAACCATCCGAGACAAAGTTAGACATGATATAATCAGACAGATTATAGGAAGAACACTATGCCGATTTGAACTCTTGACCTTCCAGTTAAAGGAGAAAGACTAACCACTACGATTCTGTAGCTTCCCTTAACTCCCCTTAAAATGTAAGGTCCTACGTTAAACTCTTGTCCTCCGGCGGCAAAGGTTTAGGGACAAAACCCCCTCCCCCCTCCCCCCCCCCCCCAACAATAATTACAAATATATTCGTGCGGGTTTCGGGGCTCCACTGGAAAGTGGGGTAGGGGGTGGGGGGGGGGGGGCAAAGAATGTCTTTCCAAAAATTATTGTCGTAAAGGGCGACTAATTTGGGCAGTGCTTCACATCCTTTCTAAGGCCGCGACCGTTTAATACATTTCCTCATGTTGTAGTGACTCCCCATCCATACAATTATTTTTGTCGCCACTTTATATCTTCAATGAATATTTGTTTTGCGAAGGTCTTTGGTGACCAATGTGAACGGGTCGTTCGACCCAAAAAAGAGGTTGTGATCCAAAGGTTGAGAACCGTTGAATTAAGGGGTTTCCTTCGAAGTTGGAGTGCGAAGGCAAGGATCCTTTACTGTTTATACATACAAGCCAGATCTATGAAACAGACGCATGCGCAATACTCTAGTTTTGGAACAAGACCAAAGTCCAGAAGTTGACGAGCAGCCAGAAATGTTCGCTGGAATTTACAGTTGGTGAAACAGGTGAACTGAGTTGATTCAAGAATCGACATCACAGCACTCGGGTAACACCCATAAGCGCTCCGTCCCCTTCTTCAACAGCCAGCACAGAGTTGCCAAAGCAATGGTGCCAGTAGCATTCTGATTATACGTCCGTCTTGCCTTTTCCCTCTGCGTCAAGCATCAGTCAGAATATCTCGTCACTCCCCGCTGCATCAATCTCACCAGACTGTGGTGATTCATTTGCTCCTCCGAACTGAACACGCTCTCCCACAAGGCCTATCCACGTCTGCCTTATCATGCAACAGCATTCCACCAAGTTGTGCAGAGCCAGCCAGTCACATGCCCCAGAGAAAAGATCCAGACTACCTTTCACCCGTGACCTCCCCAGCGAGGCTTGCCACTCTGCACGAAGCATACCTGTCCTGACCTTCCTCGGAATTCTTTCTGAGTAGCTGGTAAACTAAAGAAGAAGAAACCCTACTATAGTAAAATGCAGTACAGAGGTTAAATAATAAATACACATGGCTGCTTACCAGAAATCCACAGAGAATCCAACACTCATGATAAGCTCAATCATGGTTATGGAACTCAATGTCAGGTCCCAGTGAGCCATAAAGCCGAATATACCCACAGCAATCATGAATACTTGCGCCGTCACAAGGATGACCATCATAGGATGTGGCAGGAAGACGCAGGTAGCCAGAAATATTACTGCAACATAGCAAACGGGTCTCTTTTCAACATGTCTATACATTCAGTTAAGTTGTATAACTTTTATTCTTCTTCTCATAGACCAATTCGTCTTGTCCCTGTCCGAATAAGATCCGGTAATACGTGCAGCAGGGGAAAGCAATCCTGAGCTTCATGAACTCAGGTAGGCCCACTCTCTGAAAATGTCTAGGAGCTCGTGGGCCGAAACATTTGTCGACGAGAGGTTATTTCTACTGATGATTCGTAGACTCCTGCTGTACATGCTTCCCTGTGGAGTTTCTTCTTATTCTTACTATAGGCCATGCTATGTGGCATAAGTAAAACGTAAAGGATACCTTTCAATGCCTTCAGACTTATTGTGCATATAGAACTCGACTTATATTGTATAGATTAATCGCTAGACTTGTATAGACTTCCCGGGACTGCGCCTGGTACCAACACAAGGCTAGGTCGATCTGGAAGCCAAGGTTGTGTTTGAAGAAAGCTCGGATCCGTCAGGGCCAGAACTCCAGACCTTGCAATCCGCAGGCGAGCGTCTCGCCGCTACACCACGGCGACTCCCTATCTGGGGTTGGTAGTTATGTTATCCACAATCTTCTGTTTTGTATACATTCAGTTACTTGTGGCACAGATATGCTTCCATGAAATGATGTCTGACTGTTCAGAATCTTCTCGCTCTCTCTCTCTCCCCCTCTGCCTCTTGTCCCATTAAACTTTTTCCCATGACGATGTGATAGTCCCCAGACAGGGAGCTCTGAAACCACACGGGCAGTTTTCGATATAAACGGTTACACTTCCCGTGTGTGGATTACCCCCCCCCCCCCCAATGTGTGGTGAAATAAAGAATAGACTCGCCGTCTCCTCTACAAGCATGTCGTAAGATTAGACTATCTGGGGCATTCTTCGATGTCAAAGTGCATGTGCTTGAGAGACAAGGAACCAACGAACTGCATACAAATTATTCAGCTATATAAAACTGTTGTGCATGCAACAATCAGGTTGCCGAATAAGACTAGAGACCAGAAGTAAGCGAATAAAAAGAACTTTCCGCTGGAGTTAGAGGCAGCGAAGAAGATGATATAAACAGTAGCACTTTCTGCGGGAATTCGGGCGTCCCATTTTGGAGAAGAAAATCAATCAATCAAGTATCATCTCCTCAGTGAAGGTTGGCTGCAGTGTATCATCAACACGCTCTGTCTCTTGTCCTGTTAGTACATTCTCAGACTGCTGCCTGTTAGTACATTCTCAGACTGCTGCCTGTTAGTACATTCTCAGACTGCTGCCTGTTAGTACATTCTCAGACTGCTGCCTGTTAGTACATTCTCAGACTGCTGCCTGTTAGTACATTCTCAGACTGCTGCCTGTTAGCTACATTGTCAGACTGCTGCCTGTTAGTACATTCTCAGACTGCTGCCTGTTAGTACATTCTCTCTGACTGCTGCCTGTTAGTACATTCTCAGACTGCTGCCGGTTAGTACATCCTCTCTGACTGCTGCCTGTTAGTACATTCTCAGACTGCTGCTTGTTTGTACATCATCTCTGACTGCTGCCCGTTAGTACATCCTCTCTGACTGCTGCCTGTTAGTACATTCTTAGACTGCTGCCTGTTAGTACATTCTCAGACTGCTGCCTGTTAGTACATTCTCAGACTGCTGCCTGTTAGTACATTCTCAGACTGCTGCTTGTTTGTACATCCTCTCAGACTGCTGCCTGTTTGTACATCCTCTCAGACTGCTGCCTGTTTGTACATCCTCTCTGACTGCTACCTGTTTGTACATCCTCTCAGACTGCTGCCTGTTTCTACTTCCACTCTGACTGCTGCCTGTTTGTACATCCTCTCTGACTGCTGCCTGTTTGTACATCCTCTCAGAATGCTGCCTGTTAGTACATTCTCAGACTGCTGCTTGTTTGTACATCCTCTCTGACTGCTACCTGTTTGTACATCCTCTCAGGCTGCTGCTTGTTTGTACATCCTCTCTGACTTCTGCTTGTTTGTACATCCTCTCTGACTGCTGCCTGTTTGTACATCCTCTCAGACTGCTGCCTGTTAGTACATTCTCAGACTGCTGCTTGTTTGTACACCCTCTCAGACTGCTACCTGTTTGTACTTCCTCTCAGACTGCTGCCTGTTTGTACATCCTTTCAGACCGCTACCTGTTTGTACATCCTCTCCGACTGCTGCCTGTTTGTACATCCTCTCTGACTGCTACCTATTTGTACATCCTCTCAGACTGCTGCCTGTTTGTACACCCTCTCTGACTGCTGCCTGTTAGTACATTCTCAGACTGCTGCTTGTTTGTACACCCTCTCAGACTGCTACCTGTTTGTACTTCTACTCAGACTTCTACCTGTTTGTACATACTTTCAGACCGCTACCTGTGTGTACATCCTCTCAGACTGCTGCCTGTTTGTACATCCTCTCTGACTGCTACCTATTTGTTCATCCTCTTAGACTGCTGCCTGCTTGTACACCCTCTCTGACTGCTACCTGTTTGTACATCCTTTCAGACTGTTACCTGTTTGTACACCCTCTCTGACTGCTGCCTGCTTGTACACCCTCTCAGACTGCTGCCTGTTAGTACACTCTCAGACTGCTGCTTGTTTGTACACCCTCTCAGACTGCTACCTGTTTGTACTTCCTCTCAGACTGCTGCCTGTTTGTACATCCTCTCAGACTGCTGCCTGTTCGTACACCCTCTCAGACTGCTGCCTGTTTGTACATCCTCTCAGACTGCTGCCTGTTTGTACATCCTCTCAGACTGCTACCTGTTTGTACTTCCTCTCAGACTGCCGCCTGTTTGTACACCCTCTCAGACTGCTGCCTGTTTGTACACCCTCTTAGACTGCTGCCTGTTTGTACACCCCCTCTGACTGCTGCCTGTTTGTACACCCTCTCAGACTGCTACCTGTTTGTACACCCTCTCAGACTGCTGCCTGTTTGTACTTCCTCTCAGACTGCCGCCTGTTTGTACACCCTCTCAGACTGCTGCCTGTTTGTACACCCTCTTTGACTTTCCGTCTCTTGAGAGATACACACAGATAGACACAGAGGGGACAGAAAAATAGAGACAGACACAGAAAGAGAAAGACAGAGAAAGACACTGAGATACACACAGAGAGAGACACACAGCGAGACGCACAGAAAGAGACATGGAGAGACCGAGTGAGACCGAGTGAGACCGAGTGAGATCGAGAGAGAAAGAGATACATAGAGACACGGAGATAGACAGAGAAAGGCCCATAGAGAGTGAATACAATTTCCCACGCACGCAGATGATGCTTGGCTCACACTTTGAGGGATTCAAATGGCCCTCGGTGGGTAGTGCAGTCAACATCACACCGGCCGCCTTTACCTCCCATGCCATTTCCTAGCACGCATTTAAGACATTATTTAAATAGATCCTCATGTAGTCACAACATCCAATACCTGCAATGGTCACCCCCACAGTTTGCAGTGTGTCCGGCAGGATGACAACAAATTGCTCAAACAAAACAAAGGCAGGATGATATGCAAAGACATCTGCAGGCGAGGCGTCTGCAATTTGTCGCATGTGTGTCATCAGATTGCCTTGGGATGTCGATTCGGTAACCTGTTAAAAACGATGACATAGTTATTTCTGTCATTTTTATTTCGTGTGGTTTCGGGAAAATGGGAAGAGAAAAAAAGGGGCGGCGGGGGGTGGAGGGCACTTCGCAAAAGTCGACAGTGCTATATTAATATCCTACCCCAAACAGGGAAAATCCAAAAGTCACGGGACAGTCTAATATTTGAGGGGGTGGTAGATAGGCTGCATTGAGTCGTTGGACCTAGGCGGCATGCATTCTTGGTACATAGGCTGCACTCTCTTGTCGGAAGTAGGTGGGTTGGGGTTAGGGCCAGTTCTATATGTTTTTTGAGTCGTTTAAAGCATCAGAAAGCCGGAAAACCCAGTCTTACCACCCTCTAAAATGTTGGACTATCCTGCGACGTAATCTGGGGTAGAGTATTAAAAAAGAACCAAGTCGAATAACTAGGGGCTTTCTTTAAGTCGGAATGCATCTACCTGAGAGGCAAGGAACCAACAATCTACATGTAAAAATAAGCCAGATTTGAAATACAGATGTGCACACAATACTAAGTACTGGAACCAGTCCAGAGGTAGACGAACAACCAGAAAGTTCCGCTGGAGTTCACAGCCAGTGAACGTAAAGTAAAAAGAATACAATTTTTTCTCACTTGGGTGGTTTGGCCGTTTCAAACATAGTTCTTACATTCCAGAAGCCAATTCTCAATTTGGTTTCGACGTCCAGCAGACTTGTTTTCCCATCACTGGCTTCCTTTTGCTTGTCACCCATGTTGTTCATACTGACAGAGGGACTCTGTCCCAAGACCACCGGACGTTTAGAGCTCTTATTTCCTCTTGAAGTTTCAGTAACGTTGTAGATTTTTTACAGGGCAGAGCTGTCAACACTGCGCCCAACTCCCGAGCCTGGAGGACCGAGAGGCCATCTTTAGTCTGGCCTCTCACCAATTACCTGTCCGGCTTGGGTGACCATGCCAGGAACATACGTTTCCGCTGGCATAGACAACTAGATCACTGAGGCTGTCAAGCTCTCTCTACCCGCGCCCCACTACAAGGTAAGGGTCTCTGTGGGGAGACACATGCGTATGCCTGTCTTCAAATCTTCTTTGTGTTGATGTTGTCACATAAGACATTCACAACTGATCTCTATGGACGCTGATATGAGGCTTTTCTGCCGGTGAAATCTCATGCCAGTTTTAAACTCCCTTATTTCACTTTCTGGGAGGTCGTGGGTTCGGGTGCCGACGTAACCGGGCTTTCTTCAAAAAGGACTTTCGCTTCCAGGACGACCCAGCCTTGACTGGGTACCAGGTGCAGCCCTGGGAAGTAAAGACAGCCGGCGTGTTTTTGACCACAACCACTGATTGCCACTAATTGCCAATTAGTCATTAAAAATAGGTCTAGCCCTATATGCCCAATAGTCTGATGGCGTGGAGAAAGGTCCTTTACTTTTTTCCCTTCCTATTGTCCTTCATGATACCTAGGGAGGCAGATTTTTTCCCTCCGGAAAAGTGTCTTTGAAGTATGTATGAATGTATGTATGTAAGTTGTACCCCACCAGGACATCACACAAAGCGATAAACACCTGGTGACACAAAGTGCTACCATGCGGATGAGGATCACCCCTTAGAGGTCACAGAAACCCCGTTCAGCAGTTAGGTCATAATTATTACCCGGTTATATTTGGGACCTCCGGCAAAAGCCAGAGTGGGGCTTCAAGTAACGAAAAATTGCATCCCAGATGGGGACGGATTTATGCTAGTGACTGAAGTATGTAAGCAAATGATCAATTTCAAATCAAGAGTGTATCCAGCGCATTATGGTATACTCATATTTGATAGACCAAACACCACTCCAATAAAACAAAGAAAATTGAAATATTTTGGTCACTTGAAACGTCATGGAAGCCTAGAGAGAACAATAATGGAGGGGTATATGCCTGGGAAGAGAGGAAGAGGAAGGCCAAGGAGAAGATGGGTGCAGGATGTGGCAGATGATCTCCAGATGGGTGTATCAGACGCAGGACATCTTGCTCAGGATAGGAAGGTTTTCCGGAGGGTTGTTATGGCAGCGAGGTTCCGCGAGGGACATGCTACTGAATGAATGAAACACCACTCGATAGACAGATAATGTTAACAATATCACGCTGAAAACTACAAGACGTCAACATCCTGTTTAAAGGGCCGAGCAGAAGCTGACTGTATTTGGTACGACTAATGTGTATGAACAGTCGCGGTATTCAGCTGAAAGAGTTGAGAAAGCAGTTTCGTAGTTCTAACATCGTGGGTTGATTCACTTGCAGGCGATTTCGACAACAACATGACTGTCGACTGTACAGTCAGCAATGGTAAAACTACTGAACAGAAGTTTGTCTAGTAAAACAATAAACATCTAGTAGGGGGCTGAATGGTCTTGAGGTTTGGTGTACGCCTTGAATGCTGGAGGTCTCAGGTTCAAGCCCCGGTGTAGCCCGTGTCTATTCTTGCGCACGTAAAAAAAAAAATACTCTGGGAGTCGGAAATCGAAAAGAGTAGCCTAACGGCGCTGCCCGGGCAAAATTTGGAGTTATAAATCTACCCAAAGTATTTTAGGATCCTTGCCAGTGCAACGGAGTTTGTGCACTGCGTTGAGATGCTTTAGACTCAGATATGAGTTAGAAATAGAACGGAGCAGTTATTGGTTACACTTGTGTGCCATAATGTTGTTCCGTCGAATAAACATAAACTGTGGTCAAGGTCCTTTGGGAACAATAGAGAAAGAAGATTATTATGGCCTGGATATAATGAAGCACCTGGGTAAACCAGAGGGTCTGGCTGGCTCACTACACTCAGATGAAAGGCAAGACGGACATATAACCAGATTGTGACCGGTACCATCAGTATTGGAACTCTGCGCTGGCTGCTGAAGATAAGGACGGAGCATGCATGCATGGGAATGCCCCGAGTGCTGTGATATCAATTCTTGACTCAACTCAACTAAACTATAAACATAAACATCCAGTAATTGCTGGGGCTGGTTTCTGACGTTTTGTGAAACAGTGTTCTTTAGCTTTTTCACAAATGCGGACCATGACACTGTCTACTTACCGCATAAGAATACACGTGACATCGGGAGGCCGTGATAGAATTGTTCGGTCCAAACACAATGTCATTTTCAAAATAAGCATTTAGCCTGAGAAACTTCTGCAGGCCTGAGTAGAATGCATCCTGGCTCGTCGTGTTGTACAGATCTGTGTCTGCCAGCATCGTCAGCCAACAGATGCTGATTTGAGGTACAATCAGTGGATCTTCTTGGGCCTTCTGTATCAAGTCTTTCATTTCCTGTGATCAGCGTTAGATATGTATGAGAGACTGGAGTTTTAATGTAAAAAAGCATAGAAAAATGAAAAAAATTGCAAGCTGTTGGTTTATTTAAATATTGCTGACACAGACATTACATTTCACTGTTTTTTGACAGGTTTCTCACAACAGATTTAAATAATCCTATAGTGAATATGAAAAAAAAAAAAGAACCCTTTTAGCTGAAATACATCAACCACAGTATCATGTATGACTACATCTTCATTGGAAATTCAAGATCAACCACGTGATTTCTATGATAACTTCAAATTTACAACCTGATCTGTTTGTTTACGTATAGCAAAAGTGTTCAGTGTCAATGATACAGCCTCGGCTAGAAGGAGAAAACTGGAGTACATCGTGACAGTAAGAAAGTTGGAGAGAAAGGGAGGAGAGGCAGAGGGAGACCGAGACAAAAGATCCTAGACATGGCATGGAGGATCACCTGTATCAGAGGTGACTGAAAGTATACGATACGGAAGGTTTTTGATAGACATAACTACCAACGTCACATGGCATGGAGGATCACCTGTATCAGAGGTGACTGAAAGTATACGATACGGAAGGTTTTTGATAGACATAACTACCAACGTCACATGGCATGGACTTTGAAAAGAAGTTTAATTAGGACCGACCAGCATGGAGATAGACATAGGACATTTCTTATATACTTGAGCATTTCAATACATTATAAAAGCTATCAAACCAAACGGAAAGTTTAAAAAAGTCGCCTTTAAATCATCGAAATTAGAAACGACAGGTGAACTTTGCGGCAAGCATTCTTTCATCAGCATATTTCATGCATAGACAATGTTACGGGTCGGTAATTAATATAGACTGTTCTTTCGGAATTATTTACGGCACATTGAATAGACGTTTACTAAAACTAGCCGAGGCTATATCAGTAAAGTGGACATTTCTGTTTTATGATAACAAAAACACACACATTTCCCTTAGCTAAGGTCGCTCTCTAAAATGTTTCAATGCACAAGGAGAGGAAGCTGGGAAAGGGCTAAAGATATTTTTAGCGGACCGACAGGCCGTCGTGGTCGCAATGTCCTGCTAAGGATCTATTAACTGATGATGAAAATAATAATGATGATAATAATGGTTTGACGATGATGGTGATGATGTACAGTCTGAACTTAGATCTTTAGATCCTGGCATTTCGGTAGGGCCTAGTGTACCGTCATGGAAAGCTGAATAATAATAATAATAATAATAATCATAATAATAGCAATAATAATAATAATAATAATAATTGTGTAGGTAGAAATAAGTGAGGCATTTTTCCATTAAACAAGAAACATAAATGGTGAAGGATCTTCAACACAATGAGGCACCGGTACACCAACATACCTGGAGTGTTTCAGGCTTCGTGTAGTCCTTGGTTTTTGTGGTCACAAAACTGACCGGCAGTTTGATCCCGAAGTCCTCGTCATCCCAGTCCTGCGTGACGCAAAGAAAAAACAGTGAACACGTACATTGTATAATATAAATCAAACGATTCTATATGTCTATGTCATCATATCACATTATATTATAATACATTACAATACAGTATTACATTACATAACATGACCGAACTGCATATGAGACTATTCACCGCAGAACACCTGGTAGGAAGGCGAAAGGAAGACCAAGAAAGGGGTTGATGAATCGTATAGCCGAAACCTGCAAAAAGATGAATAAACCCATCATTCAAGCTACTCGAGAAACGCAGGACAAATACACAAAACCACGACACTGGGCTATAACCTGGAATCAATGAGACAACAAAACCACGACAATAGGCTACAACCTGGTATCAGTGAGACGACAAAACCACGACCCTGGGCTACAACCTGGTATCAGTGAGACGACAAAACCACCACACTGGGCTACAACCTGGTATCAGTGAGACGACAAAAGAAGTAAAAGGTTTTCAATGTCATCTGAAAACTGGCATGGAAGGAAAGTTAAATGCATTCGAAAACAAATGCCTGAAAAAAACAATGAATATAAAATAGGATGGATTTAGAAGGGGTAAAGAAATTTTAAAAATGACTAGGCAATCACTGATATCAACAGTTATAAGATATAAAGTTAGCGCTACATTGGAAACATTCTGAGAAAAGACGAGAAGACAATCCCCAACAAGCCCTCATCATCATCATCATCAGGTGCCTTGCCGACCGGTATGGGCGATCATGCCTCTCCATAATCCACGATCTCCTGCAGCATGTATCAGTTCGTAGGTCGACATACCTCCATGCCATGAACAAGACTTCAAGAATCTTATCTCGTTATCTTCATCTATCCCTCCTTCCACAGATCTTTCCAGTGGTCACATGTTCTATTTTCCCTCTTCTCATAACATGGCCGAAAAATGAGGACTGCCTCCTTCTGATGTCTGTGATAAGTTGTCTTCGGGCTCCCGCCTCTTTCAAAACCTCTTGGTTGCTCTTTTTGGCTGTCCAAGGTATTCTAAGCATTCTTCTGTAAAACCACATCTCTAAGGCCTCAAGAAATTGTTTGGCCTGCCAACCGATTGTCTAGGATTCACATCCATATGTTAAAACTGGATGTATGTAGCAAGCAAGAATTCTTTTTTCTAACTCTCAACGACAAGGATATATTGCACAAGATTTATATATATATATATATATATATATATATATATATATATATATATATATATATATATATATATATATATATATATATATATATATATATAAAATGCAGTCAACAGGCCCTAAAGGTAGAAATAAATGGACTTCGCGGATCGGAAGGTTGTGGGTTCGCTCACTGGTGGAGCCGGAATTTTTTCAAAAAATAACCTTGGCTCCCAGATCGACCCAGCCTTGAGTGGGTGCCGGGTGAGGTCCCGAGAAGTAAAGGCGGCCGGCGGGATGCTGACCATATTACCCATTTTGTGCCGATTGGTCTATAAAATATAGGTCTAGCCCTATGTACCCTATACACCCATAGGCGTGGAAAAGGGACCTTTACCTTAATGTATGGGGAAAAGAGCGAAAAACGTTTTCCCCATGATGTAATTGATACCAGCCTTAATTATTCAGACATCTAGGCTCCAATAGACAAGAAATGTCGAGCACTAACCATCACAAGCTACACAAGGCATCTGGTAAATTGAAGATGCTTGGACACACGGCGGAGTCAGCCTTTGTATCTCAGTTGTTTGCTCTGCTAGTTGTGGGCGGGGTGCAGCTGAAGAAGGGGGGTGGGGGGAGGGGGCTGTTGTCGCCGGGAGGCTGTTGTCGACGTGGGGGTGGGGGGAGTCTGTTGTAGACGAGGGAGGGGGAGGTTGTTGTAGACGAGGGAGGGGGAGGCTGTTGTCGACGTGGGGGTGGGGGGAGTCTGTTGTAGACGAGGGAGGGGGAGGTTGTTGGAGACGAGGGCTGTTGTGGATGATGCGCTGGTGTAGACGAGTCGCTGCTGTGGTCGTAAGAGGGGGCTGTGAACGGGGCGCTGCTGTGACCGGGGCGCTGCTGTGGCCGGGGCGCTGCTGTGGACGGGGCGCTGCTGTGGTCGGAAGGGGGGCTGTGAACGGGGCGCTGCTGTGGCCGGGGCGCTGCTGTGGCCGGGGCGCTGTTGTGGACGGGGCGCTGCTGCAGACGGGGCACTACTGCGGACAGGGCGATGTTGTGGACGGGGCGCTACTGCGGACGGGAAGCTGTTGTGGACGACGATGCTGGAACTGGGGGTCTTAAACGCCTTACCCCTCCGTCCCCCTACCCCGTTTAACATTGCTTTGTACTTGTGGACACCACTTGAGTTGTCAGTTCGATTTTAAAACAACATTTTGTGTGTGTGTGTGTTTCTTTTTGTTTACAAGTACGGATGTGTTACGGCGATTTCGCAGAATCAGTGTCGGAGCTTAGGAGTTCGTACTTTGAGACCAAGCCTTATGTGATCAAGTTAAAAGATAATTGCGTCTCCTTCACAGGGATTTGCTGATCTAACCACTGTATGTTTTAGCTGTTGCGGTTTTACTAAGCAAATGGACAGTTCAGTAGTTTGCCACTGCTACTCTAACGGTCATCTAACGACAACACTTTTGAAACTAACGGAAGACAGTCTGTTGCCAAATCGACAGCCACTGTGATCGAAGCCGGCACCTCCGAATTGCGAAGTGTGTTCGCAACGCTTAAGCCACACATTTTTTTAAAACTGCCTATATTCCCCCACTTTTGCCTTTTGTGGTGAAGGCGACACAGAGAGAGAGAGAGAGAGAGAGAGAGAGAGAGAGAGAGAGAGAGAGAGAGAGAGAGAGAGAGAGAGAGAGAGAGAGAGAGAGAGAGAGAACGAGAGAGAGCTGGTGTGTTACTCTGAGCCTGAGGTGTTAAGTCCGCATGGCTAGTGCGGTCGCCACGGACTGTGCAGGTTAGGATTTTATTTTAGCCCCCCGACAGAAAACAAATTCCCCAACTACCACTGGGTATCGAATCCAGGTCACTGGGATTTTCAATACGTTCGTTCGTTCGTTCGAAAAGAAACAAAAAAGAAAAGCTTGGTCCTTTTTTAACCGCCTGATGGCCTGTTTTCTCAAGGACGGGTTATTTGCTATCTGAGCTTGAATTTCTTTCTGTTGAGGCGATGATTTTCGCCTGAGTTTCCTGTTAGTTGTTACATCATGGCAGCAGCGTGGGCTTGGCTGGTGGCTTGCAGGTTTTGGGAGTGGACATGGCAGTCCTGAAAAGGACAGCCATGTGTGCCTGGCTGGCCTGGAACGGGATGGGTGGGAGTGGGCAATCTGGTTGGCTGGGCTTCGTCGCGTCAGTGAGGTTGGCTTGTTCCACAGAAACTGGGTGTCATGGCGGCTTGGAAGTTTTTGATTGGCTGCTGGCTTCGTCTTGTTTTGGTGGCTTGTCAGTACTTGCGGTTGCGTCGGTTTGGCGTACCCTGACTCTTTTGTTTCCATCTTGACTGGGCCAGCTGTTTTTGGGCTGCTTCCACCTGGTCATGGAATCCGTTAATTTGTGTAAAGAAGGCTTTCTTTTCCTCAGCGGGCAGCAAGTCAAGTTTCTCCAGCTCCTTGTCGTCAAAAATGATAACGTAGCGGTTTCTCTCGAGCTCGATCCTGTGCGGGTGTGTCTGTTCGTTAAAGCCTTCTATCATTTTTAGAAGGTCAGCCTCGCTTTCCACCTTACCGGCTGCTGCCTCTTTGCCTTTTTCAAGGGTCGTGGCCCCATCTGCGGTCAGGATCCCTTCTGTAGTGCTGTTTTGGTCAGTGGTTCGTGATGTTTCTACGGACTGTGCTTCTTTGCTCTCATCTGATTTCGTCTGGTCTTGTTCCTCCAGGGTATTTGAGGCTTGCATCTGCTTTCTTCTGACCGCTTCGATTACTGTATTTGTGGCTGCTAGGTCCTTTTGGAGTTGTATGTTTTCTTCGCTGACTTGGGTTATCTTTGCTTCTGCCGCTGCAAGTGACTTTTTCATATTTGTGATTTCTGCCAGGCTGGTTTCGGCAATTTCTTCCTTTTGCTTCTTAAGTTCGTTCAGGACTGCTAAAAGGTCACGCTTGGGTTTCCCCATGTCGGCGATTTCGATCTCAAAACGTTTCTGGGTTT